TTTTTTTTTCGGCCGGAAGCAAGACAGGTTCTATTTTCGTATTTAAGTTTTTTCATCTGTTTATGAAATTTCTGAAAAGAAAAAAAAAACTATGATTTTATAAAAATGCCTTCTTTTTGTTGTTTTTTATTTCTATAATTTGTTCATCAAAAAAGTGTGTTCTTTTTGAGCGGCTTCCGGTACTTTTTTTTTTCTTTTAATGAGTTCTGAAAGACTTTCCAACAACTATTTAGCGTCTTTCCAATAATTCTTGTTTATTTTGATCGTTTATCTAAGAAGGGATAATTTTTCTTCTGTCTTTTAAAGTAAACCTACACCATTGTTTTGCTCAGATCTCACGACAAGAAGGTGAAGACCTTGCTCGAAGATTACATTTGCCCTACGTCGAATGTTCAGCGAAAAAACGTATGAACGTCGATGAAGCGTTTCACGACCTTGTTCGATTAATAAGGTAAGTGAATGGAGGTTTCGTAAAGATATCTGCATCTAAACGTACATTTCAGGGGGGTTTGAGGTGTTTGGGAATGTTGTTTGTTATTGACTGGTTGATCAGTCGGTGGGTCAGTCAGTCGGAAGCATTCATTCAAAACACTTTTTTGTTTTCACAACTACAGCAATACGATAAAGTTGTGTCCTATCTAAATACACATACAAATGCACAAATATGCAAATGTTGGTTTAAAAAAAAAAAAAGAATACATAAAGCGTCAATAAATGTTGCTAAAATGGCAGATGAGGAGTGATGTTAAAGGTTTTAAAAACATTTGTTAACATATGTGGATAATACTACACAAATTTATGTTCTTTTTTTCTTCGGAAGACATTGTTTAGATTGTAGAATAGGGGAGCCGTTGCAGTGAAGGGGGATGGGGGGGGGGAAGGGGGAGAGATGGGAAGACGTAGGGGAAGAAAATGAACGCTAACTTGAAAGGGTGGTGAAGGCATTGTAAAGAAAAGAAGAGGAGAATAGAGGAAAGCACTTTTGACATCGATATATACCACCCCTTGTTTTATTAGTAAATGCTATTGTAGTTGGGTTTTATGTTTGCCGAAATAATGTGCTGAATTACGTTGATGAAATATGACCGTTTACAGAAAATTCCAACAACAAGAAAGGCAACCATTAGATTCTCCAGATCTGACGTCACCGAAATCGATGAATAAGAAAAAGAAAAATTGTAGGATTCAATAAGGAACCTTCTCAGTTTGTTAATTCTTTCTTACTTTTATTTTTTTTTTCCACTATATTGTTGTCTCTCATGTTCTTCTGTGATGAATTTTCCTTGTCTTTTTTTCTAGAATTTCTCATGTAACTTTTATTGTATAATTTATTTCTTAGAAACGGACCTGCCATTAATTTTACAAAACATTTCTTTTTAATTGCAAATATTAATGGGTAAAAATGAAAGGATAATGGGAGGAAAGATAAAGATTTATTTTTGAGGTATTCATATAAATTGACGCCATTTGAGACTGTTGTTTAGTGCCGTAAGGTACTATTTTTTTTTTTTTTTTTGTCGTGGAAATTAGAGTTGATTAGGTTGTGAGCAGATAAATTATGCAGTTAAAATGAGAAATTATCTCGAGGAAAACAAAAGATAAATAAGAGAAAATAAGAAAAAAAAAACCAGGTGTTGCAATAGGATTGTAAGTTAATTTCTTGGACATTAATTGGGTTTAAAAAAAGGAAAAAAGAAGAGATGGAATACAGTGCGACAATTATCTTCTGAAAATCTGCTAATTTAGTTGTTTTTTTTCATCGGCTGGAAGAGTCTGC